AAATAGTCATCAGCAGCCATTAGTTCGGTAACATTGAGCATCAGAATGGACACATTTGTTATTAAGGGAGAAAAACGAAATGTGGAAAATGCCAGCGAAGGAACACATACAAACAAGAGTAGTCGCAGCAGTGAAGGTAGGAGAGTGCTGGACTTTCGGCATCAACTTTCGGTTTGCCCCGCCGCACTCACTTGAAGATGTTCAGGCTAGAGCCTGGCACGGGCCTCAAATATAGGCCCTAGCCCGGCCGTGTCCGACAGCTTATCAGAATTACCGGCCCGAGCCCATCTTTTTTTCCCCCTTCGCCCAAAACAGCTTATACTACTGTTTCAGCTATATTAAAATAGTTCAGTTTTGTATGTAATGGCAAAGTGATTATATATCGTTTCGTTTTTTTATTAAGTTAATTTAGAAAAACGTTTGGAGTATTTTTTGGTCGTTAAATATAAGTTTTAGTTTTTTAAAGTAGCCTAACGACCAAGCGGCCAGCGGCAGACAGTGAGTTGATCATAGCCTATGTTTGATCAATTTAGCCTTCTCAAATCGTCACGACTTGCCTAAAATAAAATCTATAGATATAAAACAGTTCAAGCAAATAACAATGTTTTAACGTTAAACCTAGATAAATGTGCGCTGTATCCAATAGTTTGTGCGGAGAGTGGAAGCTAAAGCGCGCTTTGCAGGACATAGAGGCGCCAGCGCAATCACTTGCAATTTTTTCAAGTTCTTTCATTATAATCATAATCCGTAAAGATGTACTTCTCTCTAAAGGCGCGTCTGAGGAGATGGCGAGTCAGGATCGGCAACTTCATCCTTGCGACACCGACTCAGAAAATACTAGTTTATTAGAAAAAAATTCAAATATCTCCTTACTATTTCCCCCTGACACATTCATGGTAATTACTTTTGCTGGTGCTTTGCGGCAAGCTTAAGGCTATAGCGTGCATTTGAACGCAGAACTCTTCAGCTGCGCTGACGGCACGCTCGCTCTGCTGCTGCTGGACACTAAACACCGTCGAGCCGCTGTTGACAGTCGCAGTAGCACGGTCTCGTGTTGTTTCCACCAGCGCGGCAAATTTTTTTTCATCACTAATTGATGAATGTCTAAAATATAAAAATAAGGAAAAGCCTAAAACAGGCCCGAGGCCAGGCCCGCGTCTGAACTATGACGTAAAAATTGGCCCGAAGCCCGGCCCTAGGGGCGTAAAAAAGTCGGGGCCCGTTGAGCCCGGGCTGAAATGCAGGGCTCTAGTTCAGGGAAAAGAAAACACCCATACTATGCAGCAATCATCCTTAATTGCAGAAATGTGGCAAAATATCTCTGGAGAGAACCTCAGATTATTAAATTCGAAAGTGCTTTCCATATTTGGATCAACATAGGCTAC